ACCCACACCCACACCCATACCCACACCCACACCCACACCCTCACCACACCCACACCCACACCCACACCCACACCCACCCCCCCCCCCCCACCCCCCCCCCCCCCCCCCCACACCCCCCCCCCCCCCCACACCCACACCCACACCCACCCACACCCACCCACACCCACCCTCGTTTCCGAAGTGAACAAGTACCAAGACTACCAGAATTAATTGACGATTGATAAAAATCATTTTTTTTTAAAAAACCTTCTTTCTAGTTCGTGCTAGCATTATTTCTGTTTTATTGTTTTTTTACATATTTAGTTAAAGATTTCGTTGGGAAAAGATAATTTCTTCTATTTTCATAGTGGGGAAATTTTTGGAGAGTTATTATGCGTGCGGGGAAATTTTTTAATTTTACGGCAGATTCTTCACCTCTGCCAATAACTGATGAACTCAGTCCTTGGTTTCTTCTATGTCAAACTTTCATATAAGACGTCCAAAAATAATTTCTAGTAGAATTATTTCTATAACACTTGTTTGTGCTTTGCTTAGACCGATTGAAAATTGAAATACTTGATGATCGATCAGACTAGTTTTCCTATGATTTGAAAGCGCTACAAAATGGAATATAAAAATATCGAAGAAAAAGTACTAGGCTCTAGGAAATATTTTAAGGATACTATTCACTAGACATTATATTTTATGTTTTTTTGACTGATATTTAGGTTTTAATCAGAAAAAAAATATGACTTGTGTGAAATTAACATGATCAGCATTCAAAATCGAGTCGATCTATGTAGATTTCAAATATTTTCATGAACTCTTTTCTATGCTTTCTCTCACATCAGGAATGAAGTAAAAAAATGAATTTCATCCAAAAATTGTTTCAACATTTGGAATCAAGTTTTCAGGCTGTAAAATGATAGTAGAACTCAAAATGACAGATGAATAAACAATAAAACTTGTGTTTTAATGAAATTCATTTTCTCACTCCTTCCAGAAGTGAATATTTCGACGAAAAAAGAAAATAGTTCAAACTTACCTAAATCGACTCAGTTTTAAATACTGATTCAGAATATTGTATTAGTCTCACATAGGTCGCACTTTTTCTAATCGAAATATACTAAATATCAGTCGAAAAAGCATAAAATCATGTCTCGACAATAATATCCTTAAAATTTCTCGCCAATCACCGATCACCAAACAGCACTTTCAGACATCTTGTATGAGAGTTTAACATAGAAGAAACCAAATATCTCTATAGAAAAGAAGTGTCCTCAGTTCCTATGAAATGGTCGAAACGGGGAACAAATCACAAAACTTCGACTTCATAATTTACACTCACTAAATTTTTCTTCAATGAGTTTTACAAACAAAAAAACCAACAACCTACACTAAAATAATAATTATCTGGATAATCATTAAGAAGTTGTTGAATATCATGTTCTAATATTTTCTTATCACTTTCCCAAATACGACGTAAAAAAATTGATTTAAAAAAAAACCATGACCAACCAAGAATTGGTATTAAACTAAGTGAACATTTTCCAACAATTTTTAAACTCTATTTTAAAAAAAAGAAATACAGAAAATTTTTTGAACTAAATCAAACTTTTTTTCGAATTTTGCTCCAAGTAAATCAAGTTCTTGTGCAACTACTAATCCAAGAAGCCAATCAATTTCATATCGATGATTAACAAGTATAATGGAATATTCATGTTGAAGATATTTTAAATCTTGTGGATCAACATAAACTGTTACATTAGAATCAGTCCACCATAAATATAGAAAAGTTAATTCTAAAACAAAAAAAAAAACAAAACAAACAAATAATTTTAAATAAATTTTAAATATATACGACTCCATAATAATGTTCCTAGATAATAATTTATTCGACGATATATTTGTTTACTAAATAGCCAAATAAAAATACATGCTAAAATTTGAAGCAAAATTCACAATTAAACCACTAATAACAAAACAATAGCAAAGCAATATTTGAACCGATAATAATGATTGAATAGTATTGAGAAATTTTCGATCGAACTTCATTAATTGAAATCAATATTCATGCACACAAAGAAATAATATAGAAAATGAAAAAGAAAACAAAAATAAATAAATAATATCATCATGTACACATATGATAATTAATGATATTGAAATCATTATTCTACATACTAATAAAAAAAAAACAAATATGATAATAATCATTCTTCTATAAAAATTTATTTTATTTTGAAAGACAATATTTAAATGGATGGGTTAAAAATTTATTCCTATTATTATAAAAAAAAAACAAAATGCAAAAAAAACTCACACAATTTTCATGCAGATCTGAATTGATAAAAAACAAAAAAAAGAAATAATAAATTCATTCATGTTTATATCTCAATAGCCAGCTATTTTTTCATATAAATTAAATATCACATATTAATCATTTTTTTCTATCTCATCATAATGCGAACCACGTTCAATTTCTGTCACAGCAATCATAGTTCGAACACCAATACTTGTTATATAACACAAAAACAAAAAAAATTAATGATGAAATCGGATAAGCCTATTTTTTTTGCCAACAACAACATTGTTTAACAGCAAGATATCATACCGGATGACATAGTTTTTATATAGCTAATGAAAAAACAAAAAACATTTTTCGAACCTGTAATCCTCAACGAGGATCTGGAGAAAACTCGATATGTTTAATTCTGTTAAAACGAACAAAAATGATGGGTTCTTATTTAACATAAGTATCTCTCAGAAATTTCGAACACTGCTTTCGGAAGACTTTTTTCATTGGTTTTTGGGCTCCCATTCGATAGCGAAAATTGTTCTCTATTGATGTATGCAAGATTCAGTTTACTTCATTCAAAAGTAGATCTTTCGAAGGATAATTGATCATGCTAAGTTGAGCAGTGATATTCATTTTTGCTTTCAAAATCATATGAAATCACTAGAGGGAGATAGCTTGATCAATTGCCCTTCTGAAGACCTATTTTTGAGATACATAAAATGTCAATTTGCCGAAATCAGGAATTTCAGAAAAATCTTACAACTTTTGAATGAAGTAAACTGAATCTTGCATGGACTCATGAAAAAAAGTGTTCCAAGACCGGTGTTCGAAATTTTGATATATCTTTATTTCGCCTTAGATTGCTCTTTCAAATAGTGAAAACTTTACATCGTTAGCTACTTTCGTTCTCGATATTCGTATTGATCTTATTTTGTCGCGAATAGTAGTATATTAAACATTCAAAAGCTTTTAATAAACAAGAAAAAACGATCTTTTCCAGACGCTGCATTTGGTTTTACATCCATGTGTCATCCCGAGTGATTAATCTAACATCATGAAAAACAATTCTTAAGATTATCATTTCAAAATCTCATCATAGAAGACTAGAAACAATGTGAAATTTGTATTGAATGCGTAATTTTCAATGCTTTATCAGATGGTTGGCTCGAAAAGTAAAAAAAAAACATAGTGCATCAAGGTTTTCTTTGAAAAACCTTTCCAGAATCGTAAGGATTTCGATGAAAAGCAAGTTCATCATCGTGTTCAATGTTTTAAATGACCTTCTTTTCATTGAATCTCTTAGGATTCTGAAAAGATTCTCAAAAACTTTAACACATCATTTTTTTTCTGTCGCTTGTTGAGTCTACCATTCGATAGAGTATTGAAAATTGTGTAATGAGGTTTTGAAATTGTCAGTTTTCATTCGTGATAGAGAAAAGCAGATTTTGGACTCATAATCCTAATTTTTATAGTTCATATTCGAGTAAACTATGTTATTATACCTATTAAAAATTGTTTTTTCATTGTTAGAATAATCATCGGAGAAGATACATGGATATAAAGTCAATATAGGACCTTGAAAAAAGGATTGTTTTTCTTATTTATTAAAAGTTTTTTAATACTTAATATACTAATAATCGCTTTCAACGTACCTGACTCTATCAATGAATATGCGTTTCAAATGTTATCAGCTATCATGTCTTACTACAAAAGAATTTTTACAAAAAAAAAGTCTATTTTGTTGAGAGCAGATCAATAATCTTATCCATTCTCATCCTTTCTATGATTTAAATTCTATCACTTACCAAGAATAACTACAATAAGAAAAATTGATTGAGCAAAAAATGAACTTGTCCAAAGAAATTTAATAAGATAAAATATTGATGATATTTCAATGATTATCATCCAACTAAGTTCAATTAATAAATCATAATAATTACTTTGAATTTCAACACGAACTAAACCATTACCTTCAAATGTATCATGACGAACAAAATAATCATAAATTTGATCTTTTTCTTCATATAATTTATAAATTCAATTATTACATTCATTAGTATCTTTTGGAATTTTCGAAAGTGGAATACGTCTAACAAATATTTCTGCTTGACAAGAACGACCTTTTATTATACTTAAAAGTGTTGGTTTAGCTCCACTTTTTTTAAAACCAACAGTCAAATCATATATTCCTGTGACTAAATAAAGAAAATATAATTCATAATAAAACTTATTTATCTCTTTTAAAATGGAGAGAACTATGAATATTCTGAAAACAGTTTCAACTCTTAGCTTATTGCTATGAAGATACTACAACAATATAGTGTTTCAATCAGAAAAGTTAAAACTTTCATTATAAACTATTTTTTATTAAGACCTGTATCCATCTGCAAAAATGGTGAGGAGTTCTCTTAAAAATGAGTGCAGTTTGAAGTGTATTGAAAATGCATTTGCATATTAGTTTCCTGAAATCTCTCAAATAGTAAAGATTTAGAGTTTTGAAAATTTTTTTATTAGTGTGTTATTTCCATGAAAATCCTGCGTACTATATTGAAAATTAGTTCTAGAAGAAAAGTTGGAATCTTAAATGATGGAGCACTACTCACTCTAAATCGTCATAACTATTAGATAAAGTATAGAACACGAAACTTAATCATTGAATTGATTCTTATATCTTTTGTTTTTCTGTCAGTGTATGTAAAATGTATTACTCTATTTCTAGGCATAAGTTTAATACAGTAGTCGCAAAAAGTCTCGCAACCAGGGTATCTAAACTTTTTAATGCTTTAGTCTCATAGTTTGACTACGAGTAGAACATATCAAACTCTGATCGCTCTTCATGCGGAGCAGCTAGACGATTAACATAGATCTTTTCTTCACACGAGCATATCTCGACATAGAAAATAAACCTCATGACTGTAGACCTTCACTCAATAGCTTACTGCTATTTCTATCATCAATAAAAACTCCAAGTCAAATGATTTTTGTTCGCCTGATTTATGAAGTAATCTTCACATGATAGTTGATGGGAATCATTGAAAAGCGATCCACACCTTCGGCTAATTTTAATCATTAGCCTTACAATTGTTGCCGGCGAATGTCCTGTCCAAATCGAGTTTTCCCTGAAAATTTCATGATCGAAGCCATCGATGAAGGAGAGATCAAGTCTAAGACCATTCTAGACAATAGAATCTTTCTCCTGTCTCAAAGATTACAGTTGATTGAAGCATTCTATCTGTGACATAATATAGGTCTATGTACTTTTTACTCGGTACCGGGACAATATTTCTTTTTTCATCGGTTTTAAATAAAACAGTTCTAGAAATTTTTGAAAATCTAAAATACTTTTTTTTCTAACATTAGATATTAATTTATTTTACTTCGATCTTCTGCTCCTTGTAATAATAAAGTAAAACCTTTTGTACGTGATAATATATGATGTTTAAGTTCAGGTAAACCTTTTTCTTGTGCAATTTTCATACTTATTAATCGTTTTTTTTTTCAGTAAAACGTGTACCTTCACAAAAAAGTAAAAACTAAATAAAAGAAACAAAAAAAAATTTCGAAAAATAAAAATGAAATCTTACATTAAAAAAACAATTTTTTGGATAATTATCAAGAATTTTTCGTAAATCTTTAACAAATATTTCACGATCATTTTCCCATATACGTCGTATAAAAATTGATTCAGTAAATATTCAATACCAACCCATAATAGGTAATAATTTAAGAGATTGTTTACCAATTATTTTTGATCCTTGCATTATACCAATACGTTGACAAATAATCCAACCAGCAATCCAATCAATATCATATTTATGATTCATTCTAAATATTTCAATATCTTTTTATTTTTTATATATTAAAAAAAGAAAAGAACCTAATTCGAATTACATAACAATGGCATGTTCTTTTTGAATTTTTTCAAGATCATCAGGATTGATATACAATACACAATTACTTTTTGACCACCATTGTGTTGCGAATGTAAATTCTGTTCAAAAACAAAAACAAAAAAAATTTGTCAATAAGTTCACGATTTAGAATTATGTATAAATTCAAAAAGTAAGAAGTTTTTTTAGAAAGCTTTTCTTTGATAGTCGTATGATATTGACTTCAATATTTCAAATTATCAAAAAAAAAGGCTTCGAAAATATTTCTATTCAATTTCTATGAGATTAATAAGATAACGTATGAGGGAACCTATCCGACTGAAACTTTCCATTTGGGTTCATACGTAGAATTCATAGTGTAGATTAAAACTCTCAACGAATTCATGCGATTGAACTTTTTCTCTCAAGTTATACTCATGTTAGTATCAGTTATTATAGTTTTATTTGTAAAAAAAGTTAATATAACAAGAAAAATTATATGGGCTTTTATATATGTTGGTACAATGTGCACAATATCAACAATCAATCGATAGTAGTTTGATACTTAACCGGTTGATTATTCTCTAACCGTGATGTGCTGTCAGTTCTTATAAGTATCGCCTTAGTGTAAACGAACGTGCAACATAGGTAGAAGCATACATGGCACATATCTAACGATCATGCCATATGTAGAATAAGAAAATTATCTAAAGAAGATCACACCATATAAAAGATAAAGTGCAATGTAATGAAGAAAACGAAATGATAACAGAGTCATCTGAAATTATCTTTAATGATAGATCTCATGATTTTGACGATCTGTCTAAAAGTTTTAGCTCAAACAAATAATTTCTTCTTAACATATTCGATGTCAAAAAAATGGACTATTTTTGGAGTTTTCGTGATACAGTAATGTTTTATTTTGTAAACCTCTTATCTTGAAATAGAACTGTCTGTTTGAATTAAAACTTTCATGACATCATACAAACCATAGGAACTATTGTTGTAGAACATTTTAGACATAAATTCTTTGTCACGGTTTTTTTTTGCGTCAAATCTTGTATAATAAGGTTAAACTTTCATAAAATTGAGTATAATTCGAGAAGATACGACCTAATTGCAAAGCTCCTTCGGTAGTTTTCATCAATACTATGAATCATACCTAGGCATGCACCAAAGCCAAAACTATTATCAGCACCAGAATTCAAGACATTCGGATGTTTTTTGGATCAACAATTTTTCCTTCACATATATTCATCGATTTTCACAATAAATCCCAACTCAAATTATATGAAAATGTCGCTAAAATCACCCTTTTCTTCGCTATAAAATTAGCATAATGATAATAAAACATGTGATAATTTCATAGTGAAAAAGGTGATTTTAATCCCATTTTCATATAATTTGAGTTGAGATTTATTGTAAAAAATACACGAGGAAAAAAGTGTTGATCCAAAAACATCTATAAAAAAAAAATCATCTTTTTGTCTTAATGAACTCTATGCAGATTAACGATCCGGACATCGCTCTTTCGAACAGTGAAAACTGCAAGTCTCTATCTTACTCCCATCGGAAACTATTCAAAAAACATTCGAATGCCTTAAATTCTGACGTCGATAATAGTTATGAACTCAGTTTAAGATATGAAATAGTATGAATCTTCTTTTCACCTACAGCCACACGATGAAATGAACCATTTTTCAAATATATATATATATAATAACTAGATTTTCAGCTTTATATAGATAAGAATCGTAGAAAAAAAAAACTGAAATAATCAATAAATGGACCATTTTTGATCCATTCAACATCGCCACAATAAAAAAAGAAGAGTATGAATACTTACGACTCGAAATATCCAGTGCTAAATAATGATTAATTTTTCGATATAATTCTTTATTGAATGACCATATTACACAAGAACATAATTGTAAAAAATTAATAATTAAACCACTAAATAAAAAAATATAACCAAGAAATGCAACAATAATGAATAATGATTTAAATTCATTATAAATATGCATAATCTGAAAATATAACAAAAAACAAAAAGAATTTAATTTGAAATTGTTTTTTATATAAATTTTCTTTCATATTATTTTCATTATTTATCAATGATATAAATAATATAGGATATTCAATAAATATTCTCTCATGAAATAAATCAATTATTGTATTAAATGAACGTTTTTCATATTTTCCAAATTGTTTTCGTTTTTAACCAAAATTTTCAATATAAATACAAATTTGTTGTTCATGAGAAAAATTTTTTAATTTTAAAAGAATTAATTCATCATTTATATTTGATGTTTCATTTAGATAATTATGAAATTTTTTTAAAATATTTGATAATGTTGTTTCATTTGTTGGTAAATTAGTTATTGTCCATGTATAAAATGTATTAATAAAAAATTGACATTTAATATGCCAAAAAATATCATTCGTTTTTTTATCAAATCACATTTGATTTTGTTTATGTTTTGTTGAAAATTTTGGTAAATAAAGAATTTGTATAGATCCTAATAATTTTTAATTTATTTTCTATTAATTTTTGAAAATATTTTTTGATTCATTAAATGATTTCTTTTTATTTTCAAGTTCATTTTCGTTTACTTATTTCAATTTGACGATTAATTTCTTCTAAAAATCGATAATCTGATAAAAGATCAAGATCATTCATTTTATTTAATGATTTAAATGATGTTTTATCTCATTGTCCATTACAATTTAATGTCTTTTTATGTTTAAGACAACATGATAAAGAACATGTACATATTGAACATTGTGAACATGTATATTTTATTGGATTTTGGTAACATATAGAACATTTTTTTGGATCTTTAGAAGAGTCCATCTAGAAATAAAATCAAATCTTTCAATATTTTAATGATATTTCTTTTGAATAATATTCTATTACTAGAGTTTAAGCCGATGTATTAACCAGCGGTGGCGGCGGCTCAGCCGAACGGTTTACACCTCTATCTAATACAACTTTTTGTCATTTATTTATTTATTTTTTGACTGTATGGTTTAATTCTGGCATAGGCATTTCTTTTCATAATTGAAAGAATGTACAAAATTGCCCGAAATTGAATAGTTTAAGGTATTTATATATCTGAACCACTCGTTGACTAATGGTCATCGATGATGAAAGAGAAAAAAGATTTTCTTTGATCCTACTGTTGTGTAATTGATAGATGTGAGATTTCACAAGTTAATCTGCTGAAAATATCATTCCCATATCTCAATGCTACTGGAAGAACATTCTAGATGTATTTCTTATATCAGCAGGTCCTTATGTGAAATCTTACATTCATAAATTATACTACAGTGGATCAAGACAACTGTTCCTCTTACATCGAAAGAAATACTTGTGCAAGAATTGTACTATACAATCAAAAAAGGAAAAGAAATTTGGCAAAAAGTTGTATTAGAACATTATTCTGTTCATTTGAAGTATGTCTTATAAATAGTAAGTCTAAACGAATAAATATTTAAAAAAATATTATTGAAATACTAAAAGATCCATTTTTTCTTGGAACACTCGATACAAATTAATATAAATCAATTTTCATAGAGACTTTAACTTTGTATCAATTGAAAAGGTTTCAAATTGACATTTTTAATGTGATCTGCATGTTAAAGTATAGTTTATGGAAAATCTAAAATAAAAAATAAAACAAACAAATGATTCAACTAGGATTTACTAACAAGCATTACTAATAGTTTATATAAGAGAATTATTATAAAGAATGGTTACTCTTGTTTTACTGTTTTTCAAAGAAAAAAAAATCAAAGTTTTTTTTTTGTGTGCATAAAACAAATTGATGAAATTTATTAGATCTATCGAATCTAATCTTAGATTCGATCACAAATCGAAAGAGGCATATTTGTTGACAGTCACAACAATTCGACTCTATTTCGTATTTTAATCCTATAAGAAGTCCATTTACCGTTTTTTCTAACTTCAGTGGTTTTTTGGACATGAAGCTTTTTATTATTGTTTTCTTACAGGATAATATCTATATGGTACCTTCAAATACATCTTAATAAAAACCGAATTTGAAAAGAGAAAGAGATGAATGTACATGTGTACTGGAATCTAGTTGTTTCCAGTTAAATTTACGATCATATCTTTGCCTATTTAGTGATTTTTTCCAAAAAGTTTAATAAATTTAATATGTGAACTTATAAAAATCGTCTTTAGACATATTTAACAAATTAAGTATATTCTCGATTATTTGTTTTCCTATTATCACAATTACCTTTCAATTTTATACCTCTGCACTTTCTTTATCTCATCATGAGTCATGAAAATAAGATACATCAAGTTTACTCACAAGTACCGGTAATAAATACTTGTCTTATCAAGTTTGTCACATATTTAGTTTTCTTGTCAATTGAAAAAAAAAACAAAAGGATCCTTTTTTTCTTTGTCGTTCGATCTTTATTTTTCTTCATTAATACAAATATTTAGAAGAGTATCGATGTTTGTTTCAATAATATGGTCACAAAAAAAATATCTCGATTGATGAACGAATAATTGTTTTCATTCGATGATTAACTCAGAACATTCTTTACTAAAAATTAAATATAACATACTAAAAGAACAGTTAAAATTGATAAGAAAACTACTGATTGATCCCCATCATTGGAATTTAGAAGAAAATTTTTTTCGGATATATATACAATTCATAAGAAAATATGTGTTTATTGTTCGAATGAATAACATAATATTGATACAAAAGAAAGACACATATTCATGTAAGCAGAGATCCGAACAGCAGATGTACCAAGCCAAATCAAAATGTATGAAACCCTTGCAACAAACAAAATACATGCTGTTTTACACGTTATGGGCAAAAGCAAAGTGTACAGTGTACACTTTGCTAACAAAAATAACGCTTTCCTTTTTTTAATGAACAAATCGATTTCTGTCTCTGTTCTAATCTGTTAAAATTTTTATCGATACGATTAGTGAAAATAATGTTTAGAAAATATTGTTTAGTGTGATCTCTTTGGTTCAATCTTTTAAAGTTGATTTAATGTGATTTTACGATGATCATGTTGGTATGCATCATAAAGAAAATGAAAGTGAGACTGAAAATGAAAATTTTGATTGTTTGTATTGGTCTTTCTTCTCATTTAGTGGTTAAATATTTTTCTTGAAGTAAAATGTTTATATGTAGCTTTTTCTCAAATATGTTCTTATTCATGTCAGATTAAAAAATAATTGTATATATTTGTTGTTTATTTAGTATCATACATTTATTAAACATTTTTGATAAGATGAAAATATGAACATTTATTCACTTTCGAGATTATACAATTCAATACAATTTGTACACTTTGGTACACTCTGCTTTCGAAAACGAAGTGTACACATACATTTTGCTTGATTAAACAAAGTGTACATGTACATTTTGTTTTAGATTTCCATTCGGAACACTGTATGTAAGTACTATAAAAACTTATGAATCTATTTAAAAAATTTCTTTTATATTCACAACTTGACTATTATACATTTCCACATGCATTTAGATAAGATTAGTTATAAATAAATATTGTTACATAAAACAAAACAAAATTTACTATGTCAATAGAGAATCTAAAAATATAAATTAATGAATTCATCAATAGAAAAGAGAATTGTTAAGATGAGTTTACAAGATTTAATGAGATATCTATTATCATAATTTATGAATAAAAATCTGATTATAATTCGATTTTATTGTTTATATATATTAAGATAAAGAACGCAATAAGAGTTTATAGAGTTTAAATTGTTACTATGAATTCTTATTTCTACATGATTGATTTATTTTAGAAGTAAAACCTTGACATAATAATATTTGTAAAGGTGAATGTCGCTTTTATCTAAAAGAAACATTGTAATTTTATATGATAAAAACAAACAAATTACTTTATTTGTTATTTATTTTTGATTCAATTAACACCAATAAAATATAAAATTAATTCGACACCTTTTTTTTTTCTTTTTTTTTTTTTTTATATTTAAAATTTAATTTGATACTTAAATATATCCAATCATGATATAAGATCAACAATAGATGTCGCTAGTTTCTTGTGTGTAAACGCGCATGAAATATAAAATTCGATCAATCGATTGAATTATATCGCCCTCTTTTCTTACATCCTCTATACTATCCAATAGAATTGTACTACACCGAAAACAAAGAACATATTGTTTCCATCATATCATATATATATATATATATATATATATATAATATAACGTATCATTCAAAAAAGAAAAAAAAAAGGAGTNCAATTTCATCGATGAAAATGTTTATTTTCATTGGTGACATTGCATGAATTTGATTTTTTTCAAAGTAATGGCATTATTTTGATGAAAATATTCATTTTCATCGATGAAATCGAAAAACATTAACGAAAATGTCCGTTTCATCATCAGAAATGCCATTTTTTTCATTTTTTTATTCCCTGGGTGATTTAATAGAGAAAAAAAATAAGGTCATTCATGATCATATCTCAATAACTAACTATTCTTCCATGCATATATATATATATTAAATATCACATATAAATTAATCTCAATTAATTAACCTTTCGTGTCTCACCATAATGCGAACCACGTTCAATTTCTGTCACGGCAACCATAGCTCGAACATCAATAGTTACTATATAATAAAAAAGAAATACAAAAAAAAAAACAAAGAATGAAGGCGGATGAGACCATTTTTCTATTGTTTGGCAGTAAGACATGATACCTGATAATATTCCATACGTTAGATTTTGTACAGCTGACTAAAATATTTTTCGAACTTGTAATTCTCTACGGAGATCTGTGGAAAATGTTATCTCTTTGGTTTCGTTGAAATGTATATTTATTGATAGAGTTAAGTGCACTGTTTACGAGTATTAAAATCGTGACCAATACAAAATAAATATTAGGGCTTTTTTTTTTATAACTCGAGAACAAAAGTAGCTAGCGGCCTGCGATTTTCACCATGTGAAAGAGCAATGTGAGGAAACTCAAGCTATGTCAAAATTTGATTGGCTCTTAATTAACAAACTAGGTAAGCACCTGTTAGAAATTTCAAACACCGTTTTCGGAAGGCATTTTCCATTGATTTATGTGAGGCACAGCTCGCTATTTCACTTTATTGAAACGTTGTAAAGTTTTTTCTGAAATTCCTGATTCCAGTAGATTGACGTTTTATGTTCCAAAAATAGATCTTCAGAAGAATCATTTATAATGCTAAGTCGAGTAAGGATCTTCATTGTCCGTTTCAAAGTCATCTGAAATCACTCGAGAGAGATCTAGCGAGCTGGATCTTACATAGATCAATAGAGAACAACTTTTACTATCGAACGATCTTATTGGAACTGAAAAACGAAAGAAAAAAAACCCTCCGAAAGCGGTGTTTGAAATTTCACACAACTAACTACCTGATTGGTCAATAGAGTACCAATCAAACTATTATTATCAAGTATCATATCATACTAAAAAACAATATAAAAAAATAATCAATTTTCTTGGAGAAGCAGATCAATAGCCTTATCAATTCTCATATTTTTTATGATTCAAATTTGGTTATTTACCAAGAATGACTACAATAAGAAAAATTAATTGAACAATAAATGAGCTTGTCCAAAGAAATGTAATAAGATAGAACATCGATGGTATTCCAATTATTATCATCCAACTAAGTTCAATTAAAAATCATAATAATTACGTTGAATCTCAGCACGAGCTAAATCATAACCTTCAAATGTATCACGACGAGCAAAATAATCATATATAATATCTTTTTCTGCATATAATTTATGAACCCAATTGTTACATCCGTTGGTATCTTTTGGAATTTCAGTAAGTGGAATACGTCTAACAAATATTTCTGCTTGACAAGAACGACCTTTTATTATGCTTAAAAGTGTCGGTTTAGCTCCACTCTTTTTAAAACCAACAGTCAAATCATATATTCCTGTAACTAAATAAAGAAAATAATTAATAATAAAACTTATAAAGAAAAATCATCTAACTGGTTCATCCCTTTCGAAATGAGCAGGATGTGTATCATGCAGATTCTAATGAGCTATGAATACTCTGAAAATAGTTCGAGCCCTTAGCTTATTACTGTAGAGATATTGTATATAGTGACAGATTGTAGTAAGAATAGTTTTTGCTAAAAGCGTGTCTTTCACATCGTTCACAAACACTGACGGATTCAACGTTCTCATTTCAGATTTCAAGTCAAAATTCAAAATTCAAAAGTCAGTTATTCTAGTGTTTTCTGACGATAAAAACGCATTGCTTTAAAAAGTATCGTAAAAAAAATGAGTGTAGGTTGAAGTATATAGAAACAACATTTGCATATTAGCTCCTGGAAAGTTTCTAAACAGTAAGGTTTAGATCCTTGAAAATTTTTTTATTGTTGTTACTTCTATTGACCGTACATCATCATGAGTTTTCATAGAAATCTAATGCACTGCATTGAAAATTCATTTTAAAGGAAATATTATGACCTTAAATGATGAAGTGCTAGTCACTCTAAATCGTCATAAGTATTAGATAAATCATGGCTTATCAGAGCGCGAAATTTTTTCATTAAATTGATTCTTACATTGTCTATTCTTCTGTCAATGCATATCAAAAGCTTTAAAACTTATTAATAAAACATATTGAATACAGTAGAGCATGTGTAAATCTGATCGCAAGGACTAACCGGAATTTGCTCGGTTTTTATGCTAAGGCGATAGAGAGTGAGCATCGATTTATTCTTCAGACGAGAATATTTCAACATCGAAAACAAATCTAATTACGTTAGATCTTTCAGTTGATAACTTCGTGCTATCTTTATCATCCATAAAAAATCTATGTCAAATACTTTTAGTTTCCTTGATTTATGAAATAATCTTCACATGAAGTTGATGGAAATCTTTATTTGTTAACAAGAAAATGGCTGTTAATGTATTTAACTTGTAGAAAATTAGAAGAGTGCTTTAAAAAGCCTTTTTTTCGAGTTCTAGGAAAAAAACAGTTTTTCATTGTAAATCCTTTGCATTAAGGTCTATAGACCTCAAATCGCTGCTTGCGATCTCTATTTGTAATTAAAATATCAGGCGAAAAAAAAAAATTGAAGTCTATGTAGTTTTTACTCGGTAGCGAGTCTTCTTGCGATTACTGTACAGCAGAGCTTATGGTATAGAGGATTGTATGAATCCTAGGCAGAGACAAATATTAATAGAACAACGCTTTTTTAATCTGTTTTAAATAAAACAATTTCAAGAAATTTTTAAGAGTCTAAAGTATATTTTTCAAATATTATTAGATAGTAATTTATTTTACTTCGATCTACTGCTCCTTGTAATAATAAAGTAAAACCTTTTGTGCGTGGTAATATATGATGTTGAAGTTCTGGTAAACCTTTTTCTTGGGCAATTTTCATACTTATTAATCGTTTTTCTCAGTAAAACGTGTACCTTCACAAAAAAGTAAAAACTAAATAAAAGAAACAAAATTATGAAAACAAAAAAAAACAGTCTTACATTAAAAAAGCAATTTTTTGGATAATTATCAAGAATTTTTCGTAAATCTTTAACAAGTGTTTCACGATCACTTTCCCATATACGTCTTAAAAATATTGATTCCGTAAATATCCAACACCAACCAATAATAGGTAATAATTTAAGAGATTGTTTACCAACTATTTTTGATCCTTGCATTATACCAAGACGTTGACAAATAATCCAACCAGCAAGCCAATCAATATCATATTTATGATTCATTCTAAAGATTTCAATATCTTGTTTTTTTTTGTATATTAAAAGAAAACTAATTTGACTTACATAACAATGGCATGTTCTTTACGAACTTTCTCAAGATCATCAGCGCTTATATACAATACACAATCACTTTTTGACCACCATTGTGCCGTAAACGTAAATTCTATTAAAGAATAAGAAGTTTCTTAGAAAGCTTTTTCTCTATAGTCATGAGATTGATTTGAATATTTCAAATTTTATAAGAAACTTTCGAAACGATTTCTACTCTTGGTATTGTATTACGTTAAAAAGCAAACCAATCTAGTCTGTTTTACTTTTCAATTAACTATAAAGATAAGAAATACTATCGTCAATTTTAATTTAGTAATACTTTTAGCACAAAAAAGGTTATCAGCATAATTTCTGCAGGATTCATAAGATGTAAATGTCTTTTATAATGATGAAAAATATTTTTTGTAATATATCACTAATATCAAAAGAGAAGTTTAGCCTTAGATAACGTATGAGGAAATCCATTTGACTTAAACTCTCCATTTGACTTCATAGGTAAAAGGCAAAGTGTAGATTACAACTCACAACGGATTCATGCGATTAGACCTTATTTCTCAAGTTATGCTCATGTTAGCACTGCTTATCGTAGTGTTATTTTTTAAAAGATTAAGACATATAGGCTCCAACAAGGAAAATTACGTGGGCTATTATGCGTTGCTTTATGAATGCATACTCGTATGATCCTTAAACGGTTTGCTATTCTCTGGCCGTTGTGTGCCGTCGGTTCATATGAGTATCGTGATAGTGCGAACAAATGCGTAACATGGACAGGATCATACTATGTCTTGAACAATGACACATATCTAACAGTGATCATCCCATATGTAGAATAAGGAAAATTATCGAAAGAAGATTACACCATATAGAAGATAAAGTTCAATGTACTTAAGAAGATGAATTGAATCTCCTCTTCACCTGCACCCACGCCATGAAATGAATCACTTTTCAAAAAAGAACTATGCATGATAAGCAGATTTCCACCTTTATATAGATAAGAAAAAACGTAGAAAAAAACATGTTAAACTAACAATAAATTTCGTTTTCATGTTATTCCAGGCAAATAGCTCATTTTTGGCACATTCTCCATCTGATTTCACTATACCAGTATCATAATTAGCACGTATTTAAGCTACTGTCATTGTTAACTCAATGTTAATTCTATTGGATGAGTGCTAGAGATGTCCATCGCTGCTGAAAGTCTGTTCCTGCGGTCTTAGTTTTCTTTTTTACTGTTGGACTTATAGACACTCAAATTGAATGCAAATTAATACAGTTCTACAATCTTCCTGAAAAAGGAACTGCCACTGACACCTTCGCTTTGGACATCTTTGGTGATTGCCAAGGAGTAAAACGTTCACGATAAGATCATATTTAATAGTGCAAATACTTACGACTCCAAATACTCAGTGTTAAATATCGATTAACTTTTCGATATAATTCTTTATTAAATGGCCATATAATACAAGAACATAATTGTAAAAAATTAATAATTAAACCACTAACCAAAAAAAATATAACCAAGAAATGCAACAATGATAAATGATGATTTTACTTCAGTATAAAAATGCATGATCTGAAAACATAACAAAAGAATTTAATTTGAAGATTTTTTTCTTAATAAATTTTCTTTCATATGATTTTCATCATTTAACAAAGATATAAATAATATAGGATATTCAATAAATATTCTCTCATGATATAGATCAATTATTGTATTAAATGAACGTTTTTCATATTTTCCAAATTGTTTTCGTTTTTGACCAAAATTTTCAATATAAACACAAATTTGTTGTTCATGAGAAAAATTTTTTAATTTTAAAAGAATTAATTCATCATTTATATTTGATGTTTCATTGAGATGTATATGAAATTTTTTTAATAGATTTGATAATATTGTTTCATTTGTTGGTAAATGAGTTATTGTCCATGTATAAAATGTATCAATAAAAAATCGACATTCAATATGCCAAAAAATATCATTTGCTTTTTTATCAAACCACATTTGATTTTGTTTATGTTTTGTTGAAAATCGAGGTAAATAAAGAATTTGTATTGATCCTAATGTTTTTAATTTATTTTGAATTAATTTTTGAAAATATTTTACTTCATTAAATGATTTCATTTTATTTCCAAGTTCATTTCGTTTACTTGTTTCAACTTGACGATTAATTTCTTCTAAAAATCGATAATCTGATAAAAGATCAAGATCATTCATTTTATCTAATGGTTTAAATGATGTTTTATCTCGCTGTCCATTACAATTTAATGTTTTTTTATGTTCAAGACAACATGATAAAGAACATGTACGTATTGAACATCGTGGACATGTATATTTTATTGGATTTTGATAACATATAGAACATTTTTTTGGATCGATAGAAGATTCCATCTAGAAATAAAATAAAATCATTCAAGTATTTGATGTCCCAAAATGAAAAATGAATCTTTTAATATTTAATAATATTCATTTGTTGAGGCTTAATTTTTTTTAAAATAAGTTCATCTTTTAATTCTCTAAAAAATGATATATTTTTTTATAAATGTAAATAACATCTATGTTTACTCGAGATACACGCCAAACGAACAGTACTGGTGGTGGCTCAGCTTACATTTCTATCTAATACAATTTCTTGTATAGGTATTTCTTTCGATGTTACCTTTCCTAATTGAGAGAATGTACAAAGTGGCCTAAACTTGAATAGTTCAATGTATTTATATATGGACTGGACTATTGGACGGGTAATAGATGTTGATAATGGAAGAAAAAAAAACTGTTGTGTAATTGATGTTTGTGAAATTTCGTAAATCGATCTGCTGAAATGTCATTTTCATGTTTTAGTGCTATTGAAAGAATATTCTAGATGTATTGAGAGGAATCTAATGTTTCTTGATTGAAAATAACCATAGGTGTCAGATTGATTCTTTCAGTAGGTGAGCATATGAAATCACACATTCATAAATTACACGAAAGTCGAACAGGATAACTTCTCCTCATCTATCATAAAAGATTATCAATCATAGAATAACCCAGATTTATATATATTGAACTATTCAATTTGGAGTGACTTTGTAAATTCTCTTAATTAGGAAAAATAACATCGAAAAAAATACTTGTGTAAGAATTGAACCATATAGTCAAAACAAAAAGTTGTATTAGAACATAGGCCATCTTGAATGATTCATTTAAAGCGTATTTTGGAAAAAGTAAGTCTAAACATACAAATATTAAAAGAAATATTATACAAATACTGAAAAGTTCACTTTCTCTGAAACACCCAATACAACTTAATATAAACCAATTTTCATAGAGATTTTAACTTTTTATTAATTCCATATGTTTCGAATTGACATTTTTATGTGATCCAGAAAATAGTCTATCATGAACTTGTTGAATTCGAATTTTTTGGATCCAAATGTGAAAAAGTAGCTCTATCACTAATCTTAGTAAAAATATTTATCGAACTGCTTCATTATTCCACTCGTGTCTATATATCACTACGAGCATAGTTGTATACAGTACTTGTATAGGAGAAGATAAATGAAATGTAGCAATAAATGATCTTTTCGTTGAATTTGATCAATTGTTATGTTTATTTCTACACCCAGATCGAGAATCAGTCTCGTACTTTCAATGGATGTGATCGGCTATAGATTCAGACTCAACTGAACAGGTGATATCATAATATTTAGAAGAATAATTAGATGTAAATATTATTATAAAGAACAGTTACTCTTGCTTTACTACTTTTCAAAAATTTCTGCATAAAACTAATTGAATAAGTATAATGTGTGCGTCAAATCTAATTTTACAGTTGAGACGAGATGTAGTCCTCCTCAATAGAAAATTTCACACTTGTACTCGATCGGGTTCAGATCTGAAGTCGGTTCGACGTATTACAATATAGAACGAATATGTTTCGTCATGAGCACACAATAACAATATGTAGATATTTACAAATCGCAATAGATATATTTCTTGATAGTCTCAACAACTCATTCCTATCTTTCGCATTTTAACCCTATAAGAAATTCACTCACAGCTTTTACTGACTTCAGTAATTCTGCTTCAAATTATTTGAACAGAACCTTTTTTTTAATACATTCTTATAGGATTCTCGTATTCAAATATGACTTTACCTATGTATATGTCTATTTGTATATCAAGATGATATCTATGTAGCTCTTTCAAATACTTCTTGGTAGAAACTTAATTCGAAACGAGAAAGAGATGAATGTACAAACAGATCTTTGTCTATTTAGTGACTTTTTCCTAAAATTTTCATATAGATGTATTTAATAAATTAAGTATATTCTCATAATAAATCAGAACAAAGAATTACTCACTTATTTCATTATTCTGGAATACTTGTTTTCTTATGGTCATAGTTATCTTTCAGTTCGATATCTATGTACCTTCTTTCTTATCTTATCGTGAGTAATGAAAGTAAGACATGTCAAATCAGTTCACAGACGCTTGTTATAAAAACTTATCTTATTAAGTTCGTCATATATTTGGCTTTCTTCTCAGTTGAAGAACATTTTGAAAAAGAAAAAAAAATCCTTTTTTTTTTGTCTCCGATTTTTACTTTCCTTCATTAATGCAAATATTTAGATGAATATCGATGCTTGTTTCAACAATATATGTCAAATAAAAAATATCTCGATTGAGGAATAAATATTTGTTTTCATTGAATGATTAACTAAGAACATTCTTTATTAAAATCTAAACATAACATATCAAAGAACAGTTTAAAACTGATAAGAAAACTACTAATTTACCAAAGCATCAGTATTTCGAATAATCAACAAAGCAATTTTTTCCTCATTAGATAAAAGAAAGATACATATTCATGCGAATATGACACAAGCTGATGCATCTATTTAAAAAATTTCTTTTATACTCACAATTTGACTATGAATATATTCCCACATGCATTTAGATAAGAGTATTTATAAATAAACATTGTTATATAAAAAAACACTATGTGAATAGAGAATCTAAAAGCATAAATATGATATAAACTGATGAACTTATTAATACAAAAGAAAATTGTTAAGAAAAATTCAAATTTTGTATACTATGAATGAAAATTTGATTGTAATTGGATGTTATTATTCATCTACATCAATGTTAAGAACGCAAAAAGAGTTTAAATTGTTACTATGGATTTTTATTTTTACGCAGTTGATCTATTATAAAAGTGCAACCTTGACATAATTATGTTTCTGAAGAAGAATATCATTTCTACCTGAAAGAAATAATTTAGTTTTATATGATAAAAATAAACAAAAACTATTTTATTCGGTATTTATTTTTGATTTAATTGACACCAATAAAACACTAAATTAAATGCTTCTTTTTTTTTTTCTTATTCAAATTTTAATTCGACAAGAATATATATCCAATTATGATATGTATGATAAATAATAGATGCCGCTAATTTCTTGTATGTAAAGCACATGAAATAATAACTAAACTTATCCATTTAAAAAGTCAATGGACTTTGTTTTCACCATGAGATTTGCCATTGATAATAACTTGAATATATCGATCAACTTCTTCTTCATTATTTTGAAAGTCTAATGTATCAATGATAATTTAATTCTTGTTCTTTTTATGCAAGTGTCAACATCCAATTTTACATTGCTCACTTATTCCAAAATGAAACATCGTCTAAATAATGTCATAAAAAGTTTTTTAGCTTCTACTATATTTTTATTGATTACCGAAACAACTAGAAAACAAAAATTAAATCATTAATAATACTAAAACAATTCATTGTGATAAATCTGCAAGTTATTCTTAGTTAAATTTAAATATATCTTCAGTGAAAATATCAATAAAATTTGTTAACTGTTGTTATTGTTTGTCGAGTTTGTTTCTGGAACATGATGAAAATCGAGCCATATTAGATCAGCTGTAATTGAACCAAGCTAATCATTTTGTTGTCATTAAACAGGAATATAATAGATTTGCTTTGATTAGCAGTATATTTTAATCCTTTTTGACAAAAATCATTACTTTGATACTGTGAAGTCATGAAACAAATGATAACAGCTGCATTCTGAGGATCGATAAGAGTGTGAGAAAGAGGAATACTAGCATAGGCACATACATTCTTTTTGGAGAAAGTTTTGAAAAGACTAAAGCCAGTTGATGATTTCTTTCGAGTGGCATTGAAATCGCTATAAATAGCATGCATCTCTGATCATTGACAAAAGCACAAGACTGACTTCACCAGAGTATTTATCATACATCGAACGCGTTGCATTTTTTCCCGGCTGGTGATAATGAATAAAGGATTCTAAATAATCTGTAGATCCGTCTTCTTGTAACGAGAATATATTTGAAGAATATACACTGTAATCGTATACATCAAGATGAATATGTCATCATTTTCTGGAGTTAGCTCAAATTCCGTTCGAACAATAACTGTAAGACTAAGTGAATCGGTAGTGTTATCTGTTACATTGTCTAGCTGTAAAGTTTTCCAAAACACTGGGATGTCTTCGCTTAAATAGTGACATTTCCGATAATTGATATCCAATTCTCGTTCAGTGTCAAAATATGTTTTGATTTCTAATAAGTTAATTGATTTCCTATGATAAAGAAGGTGCTCTAATTCATTTCTTAGATATAACAAAATAGATTTCTTATAATACTCATTAGCTTTGTCAGGATTTTTGTATAACTTAGCTATCTCATAATATGAGCAAACAATCATATTAGTAAATGTTTTTTGATCTCCTTCGTAGGTTGAACGTACTTCAACTGCATTCCAACTGAGTTTTTTGCGAGATATGCGTGCTTGTAAGAAACTCTTTAGCCACAATTTATTATCGATATCACAGAAATAATCGATATTTTTTAAATTCTATAGAGCAAGAAGGTTGTTGACATTTATCCTTTAATGATACTGTTACACATATTTCATGCCGTTCAATAGCTGAATTAATGTTTTCGTCGCCTCTTTTAGCATAAACCAAAGCAATATCTCTGGCTGTCATAATTTCACTATATATGTCGAAGAGAGATAGAAGCGAAAGAAGAAGAAGAAGAAGAATGATCATCCATCTATATAACATATATAGATGGCAGATCCTGACAGATATCGCTCTTAATACTGGTCAGAAGATATGAGAGACCAATATTTAACCCTTTCGGAGCAGGATTATTTTTTTCGAACAATTATAAGACGGGAAGGTTGATAAAAATCGACTGATTTTTCAATGCCTGAATATAAATATTTTGTGAGGAAAACGATTCAACAGCAAAGGCTTGTCATATAGCCTATGGTTTTATGTATATAAACTGATCGATCACTACTGAACATATACTTAGGGGTACCCAAAAGTAGTGGCGGAGGTACATTATTGTCGTATAGAAGGCTTGAGAAAATTTTCTTTTTATATGAAATGATAGAGAAAATAAAACTCTATTTTTCTGTACTATTTCATCCCTATTCACCTGGTACCATAATAATAAAATTTCGATAGAAACTTTTTTTGTTGAAAGCTTAACTTTCAGATAAGACAGATTATATGGCTACATGTTGTATTTCAATTTTGAATCACTTAATACGTTGTAATAAAAAACAAAATACACCATAGGATGCAGCATGAAAAACTCTACA